ATTTCCACCTGCCACTTCAGTCCTGCTCCCGACTGAATGTCCCCTTTCATCTTGTGAGTCCCTTGCTCCAGGCCTTGAATTCAGGCTGGCTCTTGCATCGCCTGCTTGTTAAGTTCTGGGTTTTTATTTTGTTTCGGTGCTGGAGAGTAAGCTCAGGGCCTTGCACATGCTAGGCAAGGGCTGTTCTACCACTGAGCCAGCTCATGGCCCTTTTGATTTTTTAAACTTGAGACAGGGTCTCATGAAGCTGCCCAGGCTGGCCTTGACCTTGTAGTCCTCGTCTCAGCTTCCTGAAGTGCCACCATGGCCTAATGCTCCTTGTTTTTTGTTTTTTCTCTACCAAAGGCTGCTGCATTGGTGACACAGCAGGTATGGTCTAGATGCCCACAGACTAGCACTAACACCCTCTTCCCACGGCCTGTGGTTTGAACAATTTGGGACTGTCCAAGGGACTGTCATCCTCGGATTACTACTTCCCTCTCCCTGCCCTCTCCATCGCTACCCCCGAAGTCACAGCTGCTTGGCAAGTGGAGTTCTGTGACCCAACCTCAGGCATTTCCATCCAAATAAGACACAGACCCATTTCACATTTCACTGACTTTAGGGAAAATAGTTTTCTACTTTTTTATGTGTGTGTTTTCTTTGAGACAGGGTTTCTCTGTGGCTTTGGGGCCTGTTCTAGAACTAGCTCTTGTAGACCAGGTTGGCCTCGAACTCACAGAGATCCGCCTGCCTCTGCCTCCCAAGTCCTGGGATTAAAGGCGTGCGCCACCACTGCCCTCTCTACTTGGGAGTGGTCCTGGCTGCTGCTCCCATCTGTCTCTCCGCTCCTCTTTTCTGCTGCTCTGAGCTTCCTTCTGGCAGGCTTTAGCTCTGCTGCTGCAGGGAACCGTCTAGAACTACACCCTGGCAGGGCTGTCCCACAGGTGAAGCCAACCACATGCCTTGTCCAGGGGCACCACCCAGGCATGAGGCAGGACAGAGGGTCCTCTGAACTTCTTGGAGAGAAGTGTCCACCCAGAGGGCAGCATGGCAGGAGCTAGGCGGAGGTGAGCCGGCAGGACTGGAAGCTGAAGGCTGTCTCACCTCCGTCTTAACCCTCACAGCTAGTGCAGGCCATGGTAAAGAGAGCATGGACATCTCTCTCTCCAGGAGGGCTTGGCTCACCACGGAAAGTGGTGTGTGTGTTTCTGTTCTTGGGCTCAACCACCAAACACAGGCTTCCTAGGACCCCCAGCCCCCTCCACCAACTTTCACTTGTCCCAACCCCCACCTCATGAGAGTTGAAGGATTGAAAGAGCTTGCTGCTTTACCTCTGAATCCTTGCTCCTTTGACTACTCACAAGGTGAAGGGGCGGCGTGGAGGAACCTGGGTCACAGAAGCCTAGGAGAGGCTGGAGGTGGCCAATGGCCAGGCTTGGTCCATGCCCCTGCATTTGGAGCACTTGCCGCCGGCAGGAACCTCAGCACTGTCCCTAGGGCTGTGCTGACCCTGCTAGAGTGAGCCCCATGATCCACTAAGTATTCATGTTCTCTGTCCTGTATGTATCCAAATGACACCCTGGCTTCTTGAGTCTGAATTGGCTGGTCTAGAACTTTTATTTTCAATTGGTAAAGTTGGGAATTTAAAAAAAAAATCTAACATTTTCATTTTGGCCCCTCTCTCCCATCTTCTTTTCATAACATCCTTCCTGGAGGCATCTGGGATCCCTGATACCTTAGCTTGATTCCTGGGCTGGGCAAAGGTGGTGGGGGCAGGAAGGAGAGACCCAAACTGTCTTCCATGTCTCCCCTTGAATTCTGCTGTGTCCTGGGGAGGGGGACAGCAGCTGTGCACGTGTGAGGGAGGGGCTAAAGCCAATAGTGAGGTCGTTCTTTTTCTTAACTGAATGATAATTCTGTAAAAGTAATTGGGGGGAGGGTGTTCAGGGAGTGTGTGTGTGTGTGTGTGTGTGTGTGTGTGTATGCGTGCGCACATGTGTGGTTTTGTTTTGTTTGTTTTATAGTGGCTGTCTAAAGTGTTTCCATGATATGTTTAACACGTAGTGCTTTAAAAGCAGTGGTATCCTATGCGCTGGGAGTCCTGGTTCCAGAGATGGGACGTGCCCCACCTCAGTGGGTGAAGGTCTCACTCAGGAGGCAGAGGTAATGGTTGGGATCAGAAAGACCTGCAGCACCACCTGGGCGTTCATTTCAAATGGGATACAGTATTTTTTATAACAGAACCATCCTTTTTAAAAAAAAAAAAAAGTTTGACACCTGAATGTGATTTCTAACTATTATTAGACATTAATGTTTTAAAGCTATACAGTGGAAAATTTCTACTTCCTTTTTCATCCATTTGGACTGTTCTTTTATCTATTCGATTGTTTTATGTGGGTGGGGAAGCTCTGTATTCTCCTCTTAGCATTTGTTTCTATAACCAGAAATAAAAATTATATATTAAAGATATGTACTCAGAGGTGAGTGGTCCCTGACTGAGTGACTGTGGAGGGCAGACAGCCCAACAGATGGCCTGGATACACACCCCTGCTCCTGGAGTGACAGACTTGACCCCCAGCTGCTTCAGAGGTGAAAGGGAAATGGCCGGGGACTCTGCTTCCTCTGGGGGTTCCTGGGTGTCCAGTCCAGGTAGAGCCCTGCAGGTGTCTGTCATCTGAGCTCCAAGGATATGGAGATGGTTCACAGATGGCAAAGGAGGAGCTAGCCCGTGTCTCCCCGTCTCATGACACACGCCCACAGCTGGGCCAGGATGTGTCTGCAGGTGCTCTGTGTGTCTTGTTACTCGGTCTTTTGCTGTGAGGAGACACCATGACAAAGGAAACTTAGGAAAAACAAAAAGGCATTTACTTTGCGGCTCCCAGTTCAGGGGATGAGAGCCTGACCACGCAGGGAGCGCAGCAGATGAGAGCTCACGCCTTGAAACAGCGACAAGACAAAGAGAGCTAACTGGGAAATGCTGTGGGCTCTTGAAACCGCAAGCCTGACCCCAGTGACACACCTCCTCCAGCAAGGCCACACCTCCTAATCCTTCCCACACCGTTCTACCATCCCTGGGCAAAGCATTCAAGTATGTGAGCTAATGGGAGCCATTCTCATTCAAACCTGAATCGTGGCTGCCTCCATGGTCCTAGCAGACATCTGACCCTCAGTCAGGTGAGAAACTCCATTTCTCTCTTATGTGTACATGTTCCTGGGTGTGACTTCCTGTGTGTGTGTGTGTATGTGTGTGCACCTGTGTGTGCATTTGTATGGAGACAGAAGACAACCTCAGCTCTTGTTCCTCACGTGATGTGTGTGTTCATATGTGGAGGCACAGGCATGCACTGGCCACAGGAGACGTGGGCAAGTTAGAGAACAACCTTCAGGTGCCCGCCCTCACCTTTCCACCTTGTTTGAAACAATTTCTTTGCTATTGCATAAGCCAGGCTAGCAGGCCCTCTAGTTCCAGGAGCTTCTCCTGCCTCCTCCTCCTATCTGCTATAGGTGTGCTGGGATCACAAGTGCTTACACTATTTACATAGCATTAAAGTTATTCTGTAGCTTTTATGTGGGCTGTGGCATCTCTCGCTCATTTGTGTGGCAGTCACTTTCACGCACTGAGTCATCTTCCCTGCCCCACCTTGTCTTTTGAGACAGGGTCTCTCACTGGCCTGGGACTTGCCAAGGAAGCTAGCTGGCCAGCCAGCAAAAAGAGCTCCTCCTGCCTCCACTCCCCCAGTGCTGGGATCACAAGTGTGTGCTTACTTTCCCACAGCCACCTAGGGATGGAGCTCAGGTTCTCACTGTCCTCGCAAGGACAGAGCCGCCTGCTTATTCTAGGTCATAGGCACTAGGCACTGGCAAGAGCCAGACAGACATGGGTCCAGGTTCTCACCATGACAGCTCCTCCGTCTACCATCAGCTTCCTTTGTCTGCACATGAAACAGGCACCTACCCCCCAACACAAATGAGTGCGAGATGCCACAGCCTCCTGACCCCAGAACCCCAGGCTAGCAAGACATTGGGTGTTTTTGTAGAAGAGTGCCTCTGACAGAGGTCATAAAAAATGTGTCTGCCACATGAGTGACTTAAAGTGCATGCATGCATGTGTATGCTTGTGTATGTTAAGTACCTAGATATTTTTATGTGATGTTGGGAACTCAAGCGTAGTCCTCATGTTTACATGGCAAGCAATATGCTGACTGAGCCATTTCTCTAGCCCATATATATGGTATATGTATGTGTATTATTTTTTACTTTAACTACTTTCCACTAATGAAATTTTCAAATAAACTGCTACAGATTTTAAGAAGCAGGTCAAATATTATTCATGGTAACGTTTAATTGGTGTGCATGCATGTGTAGAGAAAGGGAAAATGACGAACCCCTGGCACCCAGGATTGTCTTGCTGAGAGGATGGAGCCCAGGGCCTCACACAGGCCCAAAAGTACTCTAGCACCAAGTCACGCCCGAGCCCCTCACTGGGGGATTCTAGGCAGACACTACGTTCCTAGTCTTCTCTCCAGGTCCTAAATCTACCACTAGCAGTTCCGGGATGAAAAGGAGCTCTTCCGGGGCCAAGAGCTCCGGGCTCCAAGAACCACGGTTGTAGGGTTCCGTGGCTGACGGTGACGTGGACAGATGCCCCGGAGCTGGCCCGGAACCGGTTTCTGCGCTGCAACTCATTGGCTCGTGGTCTCCGCCCCGCCCACCTGACGCATAACAGAAGTCTTCCGCTAGCAGGGTCCTCCCACGTGATGTGGCACCGGAAGTCGGCCGCTCGCGCTTCAGGTTCTCCCACGTGACGCGGCCAGGGCGAGGGAGGGGTGAGAGAAGCAGAGGCAGGCACGCACGCACGCACGCAGTTTGGTCACATGACCCATCATGTGATGCTACCCGGAAGTCCTCGACAACGCTTTGGTCGCGGTTGGCCTCCGAGCTGCGAGCAGGATGTTCTCGGCGGGCGCGGAGAGTCTGCTGCACCAGGCCAGGTCTGCGGATCTGGGGCCGGGGACACGGGGCGTGAGACGAAGCCAGGGAGGAGCGGGGAGGCAGTGGTTTCGCTGCGCGCCTCGGGTCCCCTGTGGCGCCCGGGACGGCCTGCGTGAGTGTGAGGTGCACGACCCAGCTAAGAAGTCCTCCATCGTGTCTGGTGCCAGGCTACGCTGGTCCTGCATTGAGCGCCTAGGTTGCGCCATCCTTCCCAACTAGCCGGTCCAAGACTTGATGGCACTCGGTCAAAGAGGAGGAAATGAGTATCAGAAACCCATACCTGATGCATTTGGTAAACTTAAAAAGCAAAGGGACAAATCTGGACTCTGAGCTGGGCCACTTGTGGGAAAGGATTAGGATGGAGAAGGTCTCTGGAATCCCAGAGAACAAGAGCTTGAACGAGCGTTTTAAAGTCTGGAGCCTGCGAGCAGGACAGAACTCAGAGGACTCAGTGGGTAAACTCCCTTGCAGCCAAGCCTGACGGCCTCAGCTAGACCCCGGGAATCCACGTGGAGAAGGAGAAAATCAGTTCCTTCAAGTTGTCTTCTGATCTCCACTCGAGCACCCCCAGCTGCACATAAATAAATAGATGTAACAAATTTTTAAAAAAAGCAAAACCAAAAAAACTCCAAGATAATTCTCTAAGATCCATTAGGACTAAGCGGTGACCGAGCCACACGATCCGCCCACAGGCCCACCGTCCTCCTCAGTAGGCAGGATAGTCTCCGTTTTAAGCAGAGTGTTTGTTACATGGGGACTTAAGTGTTGGCCAGCTTGTGACCGCCTCATGCCAGCACAAAAATAACGTTTCCCACTCAGATTCTGCTCCGGGTCCTGGGACAGGTGATGGAAAGCGACTCGTTGAAATTCTTTTTTGTCCTGGGAGGGGTCCCCAGGAGCAGTGGGGAGCTGTGGGAGAATTGGGTCAGTGTTTTAAAGCTGTGCTGAAGCAGGGTATCTCTCTTCCGGTCATTTCGTCCTCTGTCGTTAGGCCAGTTCGTGGCTCCCCTTCCTCACCCAGCCTCTTCTGTAGGAACCTAGCGTGACTGAGTGGATCCTGGAAAACCCAAGAAGGCTAGGGTGATGGGAAGGTTACTGGAGGTCATCCTACAGCCGGCAAAGACGTGCAGTGACTGCCGAGAGGAGGCTGTTTTCTTTTTGTTTCCCAGGAACCAAATTCAAGCCCTAGACAGGCAGGTCCAAAACTGGGCAGCATGCAAACTGTTAACCCCATCTGGAGACCACAGTAGGGCTGTCAGCCATGGTTTAGGATGTTGGGGGCCCTCAGCACCCATAGGCCCCTCATGCAGGTTTTTGTTGGTGGGGGGGAGCGGGGGGGAATAGTTGAGACAGAGCCTCACTCTGTGGCCCAGGAACTTGCTTTGTAGACCAAACTGACCTCAAATGCAACAGAGATCCACTTGACTGTGCCTTCCAAGTGCTGGGATTAAAGGTGTGTGCCACCGCACCAGGCAGCTCTCTCGTCGTGGGCCTTTATTTTGTGGTGTTGGGGATGGAATCCAGGGCTGCATGTATCTAAGCAAGCGCCCTTCTGCCGGGTTGCGGTCCCAGCCCTCTTTTCCTTGCTGTTAAGCTTGGAATAGAAGCTGGGAAACTGAGTTCTGCTCTGATGTTTAGCTTGGTCTCAGCATGTTCAATTGAAGCCAGTGACATATCAGGCTCACCTTACACTCTGCTGTAATCTTTGAGCTTCAATGTAGAAGCTTTTACATCCCCTCTCAAAAGTGGGAAGTTCACTGAACCATGTTTGAAGGGCAACTTGGGAGTGCTGGCAATGGTGCTCAGAGGTAGAGTGGCTGCTTCCTTATTAAGTGTAGGGCCCTGGCTTCAAACTCCATCACTGCCAATAAAGGAGGGGCTGGGGAAAGCAAGGCGTGGTTGTGCACACCTGTAGGTCTTGGAAGGACGAGGAAGGAGGATGAAGAGGTTGAGTCTGGGCTATGTAGTAAGTTCAACCGTGGCTGTATAGCAAGGCTCTCTGTGGGGGAGGAAGAGGCAACTTGGACTAAAGATTCCTGACTTTTGAAAGACTCATAAAACCTTTTACTGAGTATGTTGGCTCACTCTTGAATTGTCAGCACTTGGAAGCAGAGGCAGGAGGATTGCTGCAGACTCCAGGCTAGCCTGAGCTACAAAGTAAGGCCCTGTCTCAAAACAGAGGGGAAAAGAAAAACTTAACAATAGTGTGGGTTTTTTGTTTGTTTGTTTTTTTGTCATTGGAACAGCAGAACAAGGTTGGCTGCATGGCCTTTGGTAAAGGGTGTCACTAGGAAACTGGGGGTGCTACATCTCAATTCCAGGGGAGGAACCTGTCTGCACTCCACCCCTCCCAGGCACTGTGAGCCTGGATGGCTGCTGCTTGCTTTCTCTGTGCTGGTTAGGGAGAGTCCCCCAGTGGGGAACGTGCCTGTGGTTCAGGGCAGCACCGTGGTCCCCTTCCTTCCTTAGGGAGATACAGGATGAGGAGCTGCAGCGATTCTGCACCCGGGTCACTAAGCTGCTGCAGGAACCTCCAGGGCCAGCCGCCGTGGATGCCCTACAGAGGCTCTTCCTCATTGTCTCAGCCACCAAGTATCCCCGACGGTGAGTGGACAGCACTGCTGGGAAAACCCTACACATCCAGCAGACAGGTTCCAGCCATCTTCCCTGGGGTGTCAGCGTACGTGCCTCAGGCCTGACATGTCGTCTGCCGGGGTCTCACCCTCCAGGCTGGAGAAGGTGTGTATGGACCTGTTGCAGAACACCCTCTGTTCGCCCACAAATCCTGAGCAGCTTCAGGTCCTCTGTGCCGCTATCTTGAGAGAGATGTCACCTTTTGATGACCTGGCCTTGTCCTGTGATCACACCCAAAACACCCGGCAGTTCAGTCTTGTGGCCTCTGTACTCTTAGCCCAGGTAACACAATTGCCACCATTGGGGACAGGGGGGAGGGGTGGCATCTGTTTCTTGTGGTTCTGGGATCACAGGAATACAGCAAACTGGTTTGTCCCTCAGTGTGTCCAGTGCTGCGGAGACCAACTCTGTCCGGAGTCCATCCCCTTGGATGGTCTAATGACTGTTTCATGTGCATAGCCCCCCATGCACACACTCCGGGTCTCTGTTGATAGCTCAGTCGGGCTCCAGGGCCGGGCCTGCCAGTGTGATGTTCTGAGCTTAAAGAGCGGCTGCAGTATGCTTCCCAGGGATCGAACCCAGGTCCTTATGCTGCTGAGACACTCGTGTCCTCAGCTTCCTGTCCTACTTTGAAGGGAGACAGAAAAGGAGAGATCAGCTGTCTGAGCCAGCGCATCTTCAAGATCCTTGAGAACCGGCAGCCCGAGGGGCCCAGCGTTAGGCACCTCCTCCCCGTCCTGACCAAGATCATTGGCCTGGCCCCAGGCACCCTCGTGGAAGGTACTAGACAGTTCTTCCCTAAAGGCCTTCGTGGCTCCTTTCCCACAGTAACTGTAGTCTAGGGTGTGGTGGAAGGAGGTTAGAGCTGTTGGAGAATCATGCATAGCTTCCCAGGGTATACCCATGGTATGGGGTTCTGTTGAGCCCCATTTTCTCTAGAGCAGATTTGGCATCACCTGGGAATCTGGAGACCTAACTTTCCCTCACTACACCTCCTCCCATCCCCACAGACCAGACCAACCTGCTCAGCAGAAGGCTAGTGGACTGGCTGCGCTACGCCAGCATCCAGCAAGGCCTTCCATACTCAGGCGGCTTCTTCTCTACACCCAGGACCCGGCAGGTAAGTCCCGGCTGCTTTGGGGTCCCAGGGAGCTGAAATCACAAAAGCTCTGTCACAGGCTGGGGATGAGAGGATGAGGCCCAGGTGGTAGGGCATTTGCCTAGCATGTGTTTAGCCTTAGGTTCAAGCCCTGGAACCACGAAAACACGTGTGGTGCACACCTGCAGCCCCAGAACCACAAAAACGTGTGGTGCACACCTGCAGTCCCAGAACCACATAAACGCGTGTGGTGCACACCTGCAGTCCCAGAACCACATAATTGCATGTGGTGCACACCTGCAGCCCCAGAACCACGTAAACATGTGTGGTGAACACCTGCAGCCCCAGAACCACGTAAACGCGTGTGGTGCACACCTGCAGCCCCAGAACCACGTAAACGCATGTGGTGAACACCTGCAGCCCCAGACCAAGGAGGCGGGAACAAGAATAAGGATTTGTGTCATCCTCAGCTACGTAGCAAGTTTGAGAACACACTGGTGTACATGAGATGCTGTCAAAAAAACAAAGCAATGCTACTGTCTCTGATAGTGCTCATTTCCTCTCTCCCATGCACTGACACCACACACAGCGAGTCAGTCTCACCAGGCAGGTTCCTATAGACGCTGCTTATCCTTCCCCTTGGTTCCAGTAAGGTTTCTCATTGCTCTCTACCGTGGAGTGGGGAAAGTCCAGGATGGGGGAACACACTTTGAACCTGACAGCTACTCAGCCTGCGTGGCTCCTGCTCAGTGCCTACAGAGGACGCCAGACACATCTGAGCTGGAGCTGTCCCATGTGTTTAGGTCTTGGGGCAGGCATGCCTGGATCTAGGAGTATGGGTGCTTTCTACAAGGCTGTAGCCCGACAGGGCAGGAAATGCAGGTCCCTGGCCATGGTGGAGCTCACAGCCTCCTGTACATGACTTCTGTGCTCCTGTGTACTTTATGAGTCCACCAGGCTTGTCCCCAGCCCTGTCCTTCCTCCCACAGCCAGGTCCCATCACAGAGGTGGATGGAGCAGTGGCTTCTGACTTCTTCACGGTCCTCTCCACGGGCCAGCACTTCACAGAGGACCAGTGGCTGAACATGCAGGCCTTCTCCATGCTTCGGAAATGGCTGCTCCACAGTGGCCCTGAGGATCCAGGCAGTCCAGATGCAGGTGTGCCCAGGGTAGAACAGAGAGCACTGAGGGGTAGAGAGTGCAGACACGCTGTGGTTGGGTGAGGGTAAGGTGTGGGCAAGACGAAAACCACAGGTGTCTGTGGGCCAAGCAAGGAGTGTGCTGAGTTTGGAGGCCAGCAGCAGAGGACCATTGACCCCAGGAGGAGCCGAGAACACAGCCCAGTGCCTTTGTAAGCATACTGATGTCTCCATGAGGTGTCCCAGAGAGCCAGACGGATCATCCACGGCAGCTATTCACAGGCCTATCTGATTGTGTCCCAGCTGCAGACTTGGTTTGTAGTCAGATTGAGCTGCTCATGGTGGTGTGTGCCCACGAGCCCAGCTCTTGGGAGGTAGAGGCAGAAAGATTGGGGAATTCAAGGCCACCCTCAGCTACATAGTTTGAAGCCAGCCTGAGCTACAACCCAGGCTGTCTTGAGACTTTGTCTCAAAAACACAAAATTAAACCAAGTGTAGGGGTCCATATCTATCATGCCAGCACCTGGGACTCTGAGGCAGGGGGATTATAAGTTTGAGACCAGCTTCAGCTACATAGCAAGACCCTGTTTGCATACAGTAAAAACAAGCAGAAAACCAACCAGTAACCCAGATAAATTTGTGCATCTAGCCCTGGTGACAACAGCTTCATACTTGATGACTTGGGCGACCTTGAGCACTCTGGGAAGCTGCTGGAGCGTGTAGTCTGCCCAGCCTGCCTGTCCACACAAGGGTACCAGGGATTATTTTCTCCTACAGATGACAGGTCAGAGCTGGAGGGCTCCACCCTGTCTGTGCTCTCTGCTGCCTCCACTGCCAGCCGACTGCTGCCCCCTCGGGAGAGGCTGAGAGAGGTGGCCTTTGAGTACTGCCAGCGCCTATTGGAGCAGAGTAACCGGAGTGAGTCCCCAGGCTACCAACACATTTCCCTGCAGGGTGGGGTCAAGGCAGCCAACCTAGCTGAGTGTCTGTAAGCTATAACTACTTAATGAAACTTCAAAATGATGGTCTCGAAGCTTATGTAATTAGTATACAGGCATTTGTGATGAAATGTTATTTGAAAAAAGATGTATAATTGCATTAATAATGTGGACATCAGTGTTTGAAATATGCAAATAAAGACTAGATGAAAATGTAAAAAAAAAAAAAAAAAAAGAACTAACCCTGGAACAAAGGCCGAGAGGTGACTCAGCAGTTAAGAGCACTTGGCTGCTCTTGCAGAGGACCTGGTTTTGGTTCCAAGTATCCACATGGTTTCCCACAGTAACTACAGTTACAGAGGATCTGATGCCCTCTTCTGGCCTCCTCAGATACCAAGCAAGCATATGGTGCACATATATAACATGTAGAAAAAACACCTATTCACATGAAATGAAATTGAAAATAAAATCTTGAAGAGCCATGGGCCTCAGATCACTGTGGGATTCGGAGCCTCCTTGTGTCTGAGGACAGGCCCTACCTGTGTGCCTAGCACCTCGCTTCTGGCATCCAAGGTCCACCCATCTTGTCCACACCTTATAGGCACCAGTCCCTGCCCCCTGTCTTGTCACATGCCTGCTCATTATCCTGATCTCAAACTTGTAGGACACAGGCTGCCTTGTTATGGGGCTGTTTAGAGACAAGTCAACTTTCTTTGTTCCAGGAGCCTTAAGGAAGGGGGACTCCGACCTACAGAAAGCTGTGAGTAGCCTGCAGGGTGCTGGGGCAAGTGCTGCCTGACCCTTTGACACAACTCGGTGTCCCTGCAGTGCCTGGTGGAAGCTGTGTTGGTGCTGGATGTGCTGTGCCGGCAGGACCCCTCCTTCCTTTACCGCACCCTCTCCTGCCTGAAGGCTCTGCATAGGAGGCTAGGTGAAGACCCTGGCAGTGAGCGGGCACTGGTGCCCCTTGCCCAGTTCTTCCTGAACCATGGTGAGTCTGGGTGCATGGGAAGTTTCTTCCGGGCCTCAGAGGCTGTCACATTTACAGTTTTGTTTGTTTATTGGCAATCTGAGCATGGAGCCCAGGTCCTTCACATGCTAGACAAGGTGCTCTGTCACTGAGTCACACCCCAGCCCCTCACTGGGGGACTCTAGGCAGGGGCTCTACCACCGAGTTTAATCCCCAGTCCTCTTTTTATTTTAATTGCTTAATTTTGTTTTTACTTGGTTGATGTGATTTTACTTTCTTGTTTTAAAACAGGCCCTTCTGTGTAGCTCCAGCTGACCTGGAGCTCATGGAGGTTCACTTGCCTCTGTCTCTCAAGTGCTGGATTTAAAAGGGTGTGCACCACACCTAGCCTCTCTTTATTTTGGAATAGGGTCTCACAGAGTTGCCCAGGCTGGTCTTAAGCTTGGGATTCTTCTGCTTCAGCCTCCTGAGTGGCTGAGATTACAGTTCTGGGCCAAGCAGGACTCTGCTCTACCGTGGGCCCACAAAGTCAGGAGTCGAGGCCTGCTGCCTTCCTGACAGTGTCCTCATGGGCTGTGCTCTGTGGTCTCAGGGAGGCAGCGCCATCTACAGCAGGCTCTTGGTGTTCTGGAGACACGTGCAGCCCTGTGGCTCTGCCACACTGAGCTCTGGCTAAAGCAGAACTCACCTCAAGTCATGGCAGACTCTGCGGCAGAGCCTGATGCCCTGGCGGCCTCGGGTGTCTTTCAGGGGAGGCGGCCACCGTGGATGCGGAAGCCATCTACCAGCACCTGCTCAGCAGGCTCCCTTCCGAGCGCTTCTACAGCCCAATCCTGGCCTTCGAGGTCACACACTTCTGCACGCACAACCTGGCCCAGTTCGACCCCCACTTCCTCAGCCTCCTCAGGTTGAGCTTCCCTAGTCTGTTCAAGGCAAGTGTAGACTTTTTTGGGGGTGGGTCCAGGCCTTCTCCCCTTTTCAGTTGATCTCCGTTTGGGACACAGGGTGAGGTGTTAGGACTAGGGGTCTCCATATATCATAACATACAGACAGCATCATCTCAGACAGCCACATGAGATACAGACATGGTACTTCATACATGTAATCCCAGCACAAGGGAGGCTGAGGCAAGGGGATCAGAAGTAAGAGTTCAAGGCCTGCTTCAGTTACAGCCTGGGCTGTGTGACACCATGTCTCAAAAAGCACACAAAGCCGGATGTGTCGGCCCCTATCCTAGCCCTCAGGAGTCAGAGGCATGAGGATCCCTAAGAGTTCAAGACCAGCCTGGTCTTCATAAGCAAGTTCCAGGACGACCAGGGCCTCATCGTGACACCTTGTCTCAAAAACAGCACAAAGAAAAACTTAGGGCCTGGAGAGATGGCTTAGTGGTTAGCAGCACTGGCTGCTCTTGCGGAGGACCCAGTTTCGGTTCCCAGCACATGGTGCCTCACAACCATCTGTATGTAACAAATTCCGCGGGACCCAGTGTCCTTGCTGTGTCTTCAGGCACTTCATGCACACAGTGCCTACATATATGCAGGCAGTCCACACATACATCTAAAACAATATCTAAAGTCGTGCATAGACGAGAGATGGATGGCTGGCTTGGAGCTGGCCAGCTTCAGTTTTGAGATCCCTCTGCTCCCGGAAGCCGAGCTTCCTACATGCCGAATTGCAGGTGTGTGCAGCCATGCCTGCTTGATCCACGACAGTACTGTAGCGGGTGCATGTGCATTCAGTTCATCAGTGTGAGCCTGGGATGGATCTGTGGGAGCGGGGGATATGTATGTGCTTGTAGAGGTCAGAGGTCAACCTTAGGTGGTGTTCCTCAAACAATGGGGCCTCTCCAAGTAGGCTACCCTGTGTTTACTTCCCCAGTGCAGGGCATACGCCACCATGCCCGGAAATTTTATTCAGGTTCTGGGGGATAAAACCAAGGTTTCTGTGTGTGCTTTCCTGACTGCGCCAGCTCCCCAGCCCATCGTGTGTCTTTAACTTGTACTTCTCAGTCTACCTGTTAGAACCATTTATAGACCCAGTCCTGCGTGTGTGTGTGTGTGTGTGTGTACCGCGTGCGCGCTTGAATGTTCCTGTATTCCATGTATATGAGTCTAGATACACGTGTGTGGAGATCAAAACACAAACCCGGTGTTGTGATCCTTACGTCCTTACCCTCCACCTGGTTGTTTGAGGTTGGGTGTGAGCAGGCTAAATGCCCAGCCGACCCAGGAACTGTGCTGACTGCCTCCCCAAGGATTTTGGGTGCACACTGCTATCCCCCGCATTGTGCAGGCCCTCGTGTTTGTGCAACAAGCACTTTCCTGACTGAGCCGTCTCCCTGCCCCAAAACTCGGTCCTTTTTCTAAAGAAAACAGGAGTAATTCAGAAATGGCTGCTGTCATTGCTGCCACAAAATTGGCTGCAAAAGACAAAATAGAATAGCAAGTATGGCCAGAAACGGCTCCAGCTGGTAAAGACACTTGCTGCTGACATACGGGGTTCCCTCCCTGGGACCCATGTGATAAAATGAGAGACCCCGCTCCTGCGCGATGTCCTTTGTCTTCCACTCGTGTGTACCTGTGCACATGCTCACTTTCACAGCAGTAAGTGAAACCCTCAAAACATAGCCAAAGATACGCAGTGGGCGGGGGGGGGAGGACAGGGAGGGCTGAGTCCAGCTGCCCCTGTCTGAACGGAGTGTCTTTATGTGAGTGGGCAGTAGGAGGCCATTGGACAAGGCCATGGCCAGCTAGCGTGATCCTGCCCTGTCTGAGCCACTGTGTCTCTTCCTCCCACAGTTCCTGGCTTGGAACAGCCCTCCCCTCACAGCCGAGTTTGTGGTCCTCCTCCCGGCTCTGGTGGATGCTGGCACCGCCGTGGAGATGTTGCACGCACTGCTTGACCTGCCCTGCCTGACAGCTGCTCTGGACCTACAGCTCAGGTGGGCCCACTCTGCCCCGGTCAGCCCTGTCCCCTCCGTGCAGCCAGGCACCAGCTCTGCCCTCCTTGCTCTGCTCCCATCCCCCTGCACCAGGGCCCCTGCAAGGCTCCAGACCACAGACAGTGTATCTCTGCTCGCTTTGCCACCCACCCCACGCGGCCCCTGAGCCCTCAGCTCCTCAGTGCACTCATGCTCAGCAAGGGAGTCTCCCATGTTCTCCGGCCCAGAGTGCTTCCCAGCCCTGAGAGCCTGCGATGCTCCAGCAGTGCCCCTGGCATCGGGCCAGATAGGACCGTGGTTGACTCATGCTGAGAGTAGTGTCCCAGCTGAGCCTCTGTCCTCTCAGGTCCTCACAGACCCCATCGGAAAGGCCGCTTTGGGACGTCTCCCTCAGGATTCCCAACTGCCTGGAGGCCTTCCGGGACCCACAGTTCCAGGGACTCTTCCGATACCTGCTTCGTACCAAGGCCAGCGGCTCCACAGAGAGGTGGGAAACCTGGGCCAATCACCGAACATGATGTAGGACTCTGCCAGAGAAAACGCTGTGTTCTTACTCAGCCTGGGCTCCACCCATTGACCCAGCCCTCAGCTGGTGCTGTGGACAGTCCACTTTACAAAGGGGAAACTAAGGCCTAGCATATTCTGGGGACTGAGAGGACCAGGAATGGCCTGCAGGCCCTTGCTGCTGTGTCCCTGGCTCTGCTGTCCTGGGGCCCTTGGCATGTCCTGGTCTGATTGAGCCCTGTGGAACACGTGAGCAGTGACTACCAGTGGCTGGGCATAGCGTCCCTGCTTCTGACTACTGTGGGGTCACTCAGGAAGGAAAGTGGGCAGGCCCTCAGTAGCACCATTGTGTCTGTCCCCAGATTGACACCGCTTCACCAGCTGCTGAAGCCCATGGCCAGCTGTGGCCGGGTAACCCAGTGTTCGGAGGCGGTGCCCATCCTCCTTCAGGCCTTCTTCTCAGCTGTGACCCAGGTGAGCCCACTGCCCAGGTCCCTTCCCCTATAGACCTCATATAGTCAGGAGGACCCAGGCCAGAGGTGGTGCACTGACCTTGACCCCACAGGCGGTTTGTCTTGCAGCACCCTCCATGGTCTCGGTAAGAGAGACAGGAAAGGGCTACTCACCCTTCAGCCCTCAGGATGGGGCAGGCTGGCAGCGCAAGCTAGAGCCAAAACAGCCTGTGCCCAGTCCCCTGAGCTCCCATAGCCCAGGGCTTTCCTCCTGACTGCATGTTCCCAGGCTGGACGAGTGGAAGCCTTCAGAACCCCTTGAGGGTGGCTAGGAACAGAGTGGGGCCATTTGAGGTCACTCAGACAAAATAGAATCTTAGCCGGGGAACAGGCTTAGATTTTTTTGTTTTGGGAAAAGGCTTAGATTTTTCTTTTTTTTGTTTTTGTTTCTGTTTGCATATTTGAGACACTGCCTCTCTGTATAAACTGCTGGCCTGGAGCTCACCATGTGAACTAGAGCGGCCTCAGACTCTCAGATCCTCCTGCCTCTGTCTCCCAAGTGCTGGGCCTTAAGGTGTCACCACCGCGCCCTGCAGCAGAGCAGGTCCTGAGGGAAAGATGTAGTGCAGTAGCAGAGCCGGGAGGCTGGGGTTTCTGGGTCCTCCCTCTGGTTCTCAGGTGCTGGGGAAGGCAGGCAGTGAATGAGGAGATTCACCCCTAAGTCATGCTTCCCTTTGTGGCCTCGCTCCTCCCTGAGGGTAGAAGATAATAGCGCAACTGCCCAGGACTGAACCTGTCTCTTGTTCTTGATCCCAGTTTGCTGATGGGGCCCTGATCAACCAGCTGGCACTGCTGCTCCTAGACAGAAGTGACTCCCTCTACCAGGTCCCTCAGTATGAGGCCAGTGTGCACAGGTAGGCAGGGTCACCAGTGCTGCGGTACACACACCTCTGCGCCCTGTCCTGTGCACAGCTAGGAGTCTGAGCACTTTCCTGTCCCGCCAGTTCCTCCCCCAGGTGCAGCTCGCCTCCCATTCAGTACATTTTGGTGTCTGTCCTCCTCTGAGACTCTGTGTCCTTTGAATGGTGGGCTTACGTCTCTATGGCAGAGATTCCTGTCCACCAAGGTCCCTTTCCTTTAGGGCAGTGGTTCTCAACCTTCCTAATGCTGTGACATTTCCTCATATTGTGGTGACCTCCCAACCATAAAATTATTTTCATTGCTACTACATAACTGTAATTTTGCTATTCTTATGAATCCTAATGTAAATATCTGATATGCAGGATTTCTAATTGCCAGCTCAAAAGGTCATGACCCTCGGGTTGAGAGACACTGCTTTAGGTCGTTCATTCTCATGTAGATGTGCACCCATCCTGGGAATTAAACCTAAGGCCACCTTAACCCTAGATAAGTGCTCTACCACTGAGCCACACTCCAGCCCCTCACTGGGGATTCTAGGCAGGGGCTCTACCACTGAGCCACACCCCAGCCCCTCACTGGGGATTCTAGGCAGGAGCTCTCCTCCTCAGTTTTATGACAGGACTCACTCCAGTGCAGGCTGTCCTAAATCTCACAGCATCCCTTCTACCTCACTCTCTCCAGTAGCCTGGATTTGAGACAGTCATGTCCCCAGTAGAGTGACTCAACAGGTGACAGTTCTTATCTCCCTGACTTCCACCAGGTGCTTCTGGCTCTTTCCCATCAGATTGGCCGGGCTCAGATCTGCCCTGATCACACAGCCTCACAGGGTTTTTGCTCTCCTGGCAGGGTGCTGAGCTCCCAGCTTCTGGTGCTATGCAAGCTGAAGCCATCATTGGTGGTGGAGCTGTCACGAGAGCTTCTGGAATTTGTGGGGAGCGTGAGCAGCATCTGCAGCCGAGCCAGCATGTTCACCTGTGTGGTAAGCACATGCCCACCCTCCCACCATTGGACAGGAAGCCCTGTTGTGTGCTAAGCCTCTGTTCTGGGCTTAGGTATGGGCTATTGGTGAGTACCTGTCGGTGACCTGCGACAAGAGATGCACAGTGGAGCAGATCAACAAGTTCTTTGAAGCACTGGAGGCCCTGCTGTTTGAAGTCACCCAGTCCCGCCCCTCAGCTGACCTGCCCTGCTGTCCCCCACAGGTGGTCACTGTACTCATGACCACGCTGACCAAGCTGGCCTCCCGGAGCCAAGACCTGATCCCAAGGTATCCAGCTGGGGAGTGCAGAGTAGGAGCCCATGAGGACAGCCATCTGGGTGTGTTAGGGGGCTGTCCTTGGCAGTTAAATAGCTGAGCCCCTCTCTTCCCCAGGGTGTCATTGTTCCTGTCAAAAATTCGGACCCTGGCCCAGAACCCAGCCACCAGCTCCGTGCACAGTGAGGAGAATGCAGAAGCCATCCGTACCCGGGCCACAGAGCTACTGACTCTACTGAAGATGCCCAGTGTGGCCCAATTTGTGTTCACACCCACTGCAGGCGTGTGCCAGCCTCGCTACCACCGAGACACCAACACAGCCCTGCCTCTAGCCCTGCACACCGTCAGCCGGCTGGTGGAGAAGGAGGCTGGCCTCTTGCCAGGTTGAAGAAGGGACAGTCACCACTTGAACATTGACTACAGTTTAAGAGCCTGGGCGGCCAGCCTGATACTTGAGTTGAGCTGCAAGCTGGGGCAACTGGAGGAGAGTGGGGAGGAAGGTGGACATGGCCCTGAAGATGGGGTCACTAGTTCCTGGGGATGCGCCATCCAGCCTTGTCCCGGTGGCTGGTCACACTCAGCGTTGAACATGTGATAGATGGCTGAGCGTTTTTCCCTAGGCTGAGCAGAAGCGGCCTGGCTACTCACTGCTGTTAACTTGTTCCTAGAGTTGGGGCGGGAGCAGTCCAGGACCAATAATAAGGTGCTTATGCTGGGCAGGGGTGGTGCACGCCTTCTATCCCAGCACTCTGGAGCTGAGGCCAGCTAGGGCTACACAGAAACCAAAGCACTCACACCACACACACACACACACGAAGAATTTTAGTGCTTATGTGTAGGTGCTATGCACATACCACAACACACATGTGGATATCAGGAGACAGCTTTGGTGACTCAGCCTCTCCTTTGTGTGGGTCCTGGCTGGTTGTGAGGCTCGGTGACAAGCACTTTGCCTACTGAACCATCTTGCCTTTCCCCAAATAAACCTTTAAGTGCTGTGTACAGCCAAGATCTCTCTGCCGTCCTCAGACTGGGAGATAACCAGAGCCTGAGCATGGCCTGGAGCCTGGGCCCTTCCCACCCTGTCCTGTGTGGAGGGAAGTGGCCGGTTCTCGTGCAGGAAATCCCTGGTCCTCATGTTTAGCTCTGGTGTCTTGGATGTGACAGAAGTGACAATACCAGGAGATGAGGCTGTAGCTCAGCAAGTGGAGTGTGTCCTCCGTGCACAAAGTCCAGCATGACCCAAGCATTGTAGGGCACACCTGCAGTCCCAGCACCTGGGAGGTGGAGGCAGCGGGGTCAGAAGTTCAAGCTCACCCCTGGGTATGCAGTAATTCAGAGGGCTGCCTGGACTACAGAAGAAATTGGGCCTGGGAGATGACTCAGCACATTAAAGCCTTTGTCATAGAAGCCTGATACCCACGTTTGACCCCTGGATTCCAGGTGGAGAGCCAGGTGCCTGGTGTGTGCACACCCGCAGAAACTGCATCAGTCCAAAGCTCACAGGCCTGCTAGCCTGGGGTACGCAGAGCAGCGGGAGAACAAGAACCAACTCCCAGAAGATGTGTTTGTTATGTCTTCTTGCACACACGAGACATTTTAAAAGCCAAATAAATTCAGGTACTCATGAGGATGTCGTGTCTCCAGGGTACACCTGCAGTCGGTGTTGCCTGTTTATGCTGCTTCGTAGTTGAAGGATGTGGGGAGGTAAGGAGGGCTCCTACATGCTCCCACAGTCCTGTGCAGAAGTGCCCAGGTTTCATGCTGGTGCTCAGGGCTGCAGGGTTCTGCCTGAGTCTTTTTGCAGTTTCCTCGAGCCCTTGGTTGGGCTGCTCTAAGAGATCATAGCTGGAACTGCTCAGGTACTGTCAGTACATGGCCACTAGGAGGCGCCGTTGCTTTTAGTCTATCACTGGGCAAGCCTTTGACCCTACCCACAGCCCCACCCTTCGCTTTCTGCATCTGGGCTTTGCATTATGTTCTCCCTGTGTGGGGTCAGAGCTCTCTAAGAAAAGTAAGGCTTTGGTGGCGCAAGCCTTTAATCCCAGCACTCGGGAGGCAGAGGCAGGCGGATCTCTGTGAGTTTGAGGCCAGCCTGTTCTACAAGAGCTAGTTCCAGGACAGGAACCAAAAAAGCTACGGAGAAACCCTGTCTGACAGGCTCCAAAACCACATAGGAACCCTGCCTCGAAAAAACAAAAACAAAAAAAGAAAAGAAAAAAAAAAGGCTTAAGACAGCAGCTGAGGTCTGTGACAACATGGGGTGCTCCTATCCAGGCCACAGGGATACTGCAGCCTGTGTGGACCTTATATCCAGGTTCATGTTCAGGGAAACCTCTGCTTGTCACTAGACCTGCTGTGCCCTGACCAACGCTCCTCCCTGAGCTGGGGCTGGGCCCATATACCCAGAGAGTGACCCACAGTGTCTGTTTGGTGCCACCTGTTGCCTGTGAGGGCAGCCACCCCTAGAGCAGGAGCAGAGGAAGCAGTGGTATTTGCCATGCCCTTAAGTCAGGAGCAAGGTGCTTTGCCTGCATGGATGTCAGTGCACCATGTGCACGCATTGCATGCAGAGGTCAAAGAGCACCAGACCCCCTGGAACTGGTGTTACAGAGCCGTAAGGCACCGTGTGGGTGCTGGAAATGGAACATGTCCTGTGGAAGAGCAGCCAGTGCTCTTAACCACCAAACCATCTCTCCAGCTCTGAACACTGGCATCCTTCATAGTCATGAGTGAAATTCAGCTGACTCCACTGCATGTAGAGTTGATAAAGCTTTGCCAGCGTGAACAAGGGCAGAGGTCTGAAAATACGTTGCCTTTTTCCTGGTGGGCACCAGCCAAAGCTAAGTGCCCACTCAGATGACAGGGGCTGCCCTGGCTACTCTCAGAGGCAAGCCACTTGGGGTGAGGGTCACACGTGCTCAGTGGCTTTTCCCACCTTATCATGGCTAGAGGGCAGGGCTGCCTGGGCGCCCAGCTCCCAGGCTCTCATGGGGCCTGTGAAGCTTCCGCAGTCACACCTGCTTTTAGCACTGTTGTGATCCTTATTTCACATGAACACCTGACTAGACACATGCACACGTAAGTCGTGTGTGTGATGTGATTGTGCACGTGTGCCTGCATGTCGCAGAGCACGTGGGGCGGTCAGAGGATGGCTTTTGAGTCAGTTCTGGCCTAGGGATTGTTCTCATGTTGTCGGGCTTGCAGCAAGTACTCTTACCTGCTAAGCCATCTCATCAAACCACCTTTGGTAAAAATATTTCACTCAATTTATTCTGATCGGTCCCCCCCCCCCTTATCTCCTCCCAGATCCCCCCCACCTCCCTATCTTTCTAAGTCCACATCTTTCTCCCTTAAGAAACCAAACAGAGCCAGGTAGTGGTGGTGCACACCTTTAATCCCAGCACTCGGGAGGCAGAGGCAGGTGGATCTGAGTTCTAGGCTAGCCTGGTCTACAGAGAGTTCCAGGACTACTCAGAGGACCCTGTCTTAGGAAAAAAAAAGGATAAAAGACATATAAAAAGGCCAAGAGAAATATGCATATGTGTGCACACACCCACACACCAGTAAGGGGAGGAGCCCAAAGAAAGCAGTATGAGACAAAAAATCTTAAAGTACCTGTGAGTTTGTGTTAGCCATCTGAAGTGTGGGTTGTATACCCAATGAAGCTTTCTTGGAGAAGCTAATTTTTCTTTTGTGAATGGTTGTTAATTGGAGATAGCCCTGTCTGGTCTGGATCTGTGCAGGCCCTATGCATGCTTCCAGTCTCTGTTAGTTAATGTGTCAGACCTGTTGTGTCCTTCGTGTTATTCATCCTCAATGGTTCAAGTGCTTATTGCTCTTGCAGAGGACGTGGGTTTGGTTCCCAGCACCCATATGGCAACTCACAACTGCATGGAACTCCATTTATGAATCTGGCACCTTCTTCTAGTCTCAAAGGGCTCCTAAATGTGCATGGTACACAGAAACACACGCAAGCACACACATACATAATTTTTTAAAAATCTTGAATAAAAAGATTTGGGGGCCAGAAAGATGACGACTCAGCAGGTAAAGGCTCCTGTGCTGAGCCTGCTGACCTGAGCTGAAGTCCTGGGACCTACGTGGTGGTGAGAACTGACTCCCATAGTTGTCCTCTGACCGCCACATGCACACCATGCATACATGTGTACTTCATTCCATGCACATAAAATAAATCAATAAAAACGTAAAATTTTTTTGAAATCTTTATCCAGCATCTTGGGCATCATCGAGTTATGGCTGCCTGCCCAAGCAGGGTGGAAACATGTAGCGATAGCAGCAGTAGAAAGGCCCTGCAGCAGATGCACTGCAGCTCTTCGTGGCAATCAGGAGAGGCAGCATGGAGAAGCATTGGAGCAAGTAACAGGGCCAACAGAGGATCCTGCTACATGGGCTACCCTCCACAAAGGTCCCTTTCCGGTGAGGGATGTTTGCAGCTGGCTCGGGCCTCGGGCTGGAGAGAGCTGCAACACAAGCATGCGGGCCCCAGTTTGAATCCCCAGAACCTACACAAAGCCGGCTACAGTAGCTCGTGTCTACTCCTCGTGCTCCTACAGCTAGATGGGAGGAAGAGAGAGAATCCTGGAGGCACTCGGGTCAACCAGCCTGGTGCATACAGAAGCAAAGAGAGACCCAGTCTGAAACAAGGGGGCAGTGAGGGCTGTTCCTCAGGTTGTCCCCTTACCTCAACACAGGTGCTGTGCATGTGCACGCACGCAGCGCACGCACACACACACTTCCCAAATTCTTAAAAGATGAGGACCTGACCAAGTTCTTCCACTAGCTTTTTGCACACTGAAGACATGGGTAGAGCTACTGACCCCGCTGAAGGTGTCCAGTAAGGCCAAGTTTGTTGACACCCAGTGTGGGCAGGTGCCAGCTGCGAACACAGCATGCCCAGACCCTGGCTGGCTTCCCAACAGTGTAAAGGGACGTGGGCTGGGGAGGAAAGTCCTGGGCCCCAGCTCAGAGTTCAACATCCTGCCTTGGTGATCAGTGACAAGTGGGGACCAGTGGAGGCCATCTGAGCAAGGAGAGCAGGCTCAAGCCTGGCTTGGGCCCAAGAATAGGTTGGTTCAATCATCTATCCTTCTCCGGGCCTCCAGATCCCTTTCTTTGGAGAGATACTAAGCAGTGTGATCTAAAATGATGGGGACAGGCATGGGGACCCTGCTTGGTGGCTGAAGCAAGACCGCAGTGGTGTGGGAGCCGCTCTGTACTACCTCCTCCACAGTAAGCAAGACCGCAGTGGTGTGGGAGCCGCTCTGTACTACCTCCTCCACAGTAAGCAAGACTGCAGTGGTGTGGGAGCCGCTCTGTACTACCTCCTCCACAGTAAGTTCTACACCAGCCCAGGCAGAATCTCAAAGAAGGACCAAAAGACCATACCACACTGGCTTGTGTTTCTTGTGTTCTGGCTGAAAGGAGCTGCAATCCTGGGTTAGAGGGTGGTCAGTCAACCCCATTCATAGCCTAGTTCAGGAGAGCAGGCCTGTAATTTCAGTTGTTGAGGAGGCTGAGGCAGGATGGTAGACAGCTCACAGTGCTTAGGCTATGGAGCAAGGCCAACCTGGGCAACTCAGTGAGAGTGTTGCAAAACAAAATATAAAAAGAGGGGCTGAGGGTTGTAGCTCAGGGGTAGCTAGAATCCCCCAGTGAGGGGCTGGGGTGTGGCTCAGTGGTAGAGCACCTGCCTAGAATCCCCCAGTGAGGGGCTGGGGTGTGGCTCAGTGGTAGAGCCCCTGCCTAGAATCCCCCAGTGAGGGGGGGGGCTGGGGTGTGGCTCAGTGGTAGAGCACCTGCCTAGAATCCACCAGTGAGGGGCTGGGGTGTGGTTCAGTGGTCGAGCACCTGCCTAGAATCCCCCAGTGAGTGCCTACCTAACACACCAAGAGCCCTGGGTCAAACCCCCAGAACCAGAAGCAGTGGGGAACTATATCCACCACAATCTCTATTAGGCCCACTCAAGGCTTCTCCTATGTTGGCTGGAAGGGTTGGTCACAAAAACCACTGACTTCCCTCAGTGTGGCCCATGTGTCCTGTACCACAGTGCAGATCCTGCATCCCCACTGTAAGAATACGAAACATAGTTTATTGAATCTCAATTCTCCATTAAAGTCTTTAAGCATAAAAGCTCTGTAGGAAATGTCACAACTTAGTGTCATCTGTCATATAAATAAATATACACTAAGAGGTACAACACTATCAACACATGTCCTCAACGTGAGGCCACAACATAGGAACTCAGTCAACTTTAAAACCCAGGACTGGCTGGACTGGGGAGTGTGGGGCTTAGGGGTGGGCAGTGGGTGAGTGTCGATGGCACCTGGTGAGGATACGGGAAGCAGGTGCGGGGGCAAAGGTTCTTTGGTCTATCAGGAAGGAGGCTTGCGAAAGCGGATTTTCTTGGCTGTTTCCACATCAGACTTGGCCACCAGAAATTGCATCTTCTTGCCTCCATGTCGAATCAGATCTACCGCTCTGAAATCGAGAGGTGGAGATGGTGCAGAAGAGCCAGCAGCAGCCACGGCCTCTGCCTCTCCCCGCTTCAGAATGCAGGACTGGCTTGCAGGTGCACCCCCATACAACGATCTGTGAGTTCTGT